TTTCAGTTTCGTCACACTTTTTCAAGTCATCGTTGGTTGTCAGAGCGGTCCGTGGGACCTTTGCTCTTGAGCCACGGTGTCAGTTTGTAAGTCTGTCAGGTCTGGTAACCCAGAAACCAGACAATTTTAAGGAAACAAGGGGAAGGAAAGGAGAGAAGGAAGAACGAGAGCAAAGGGGAAGAAGAGAATCTTTTAGGATAGGCAGCGTTTAGGCATTGTTAAAATCACTTCACAGATTTTGATATGGTCTAAAAATATTTCATTTTTTCTAAAGATTGTGTAAAAATGCTCCAATTTTGGTTGTTCTAAGTTCACGAGTTAATTTTGATTACAGTGCGAGCCGCGGCCTTTTGTGCTTGCGAACTTGCTCGACTGTGTAGTCCACTGACTCACACAACAGAGGGTTGCTGTGCGATTCCGCTAGGCTATAGCGCCGCTGCGCCTGTTGCTTAATGTAGTCCTTTAGGTAAGGGACATCGAGGTCTCTATGTAGAGTTTCGTTAGAGACATACCATGGGGCATCAGCAATAGTGCGCAACGTCCTGCTTTGCAGAACCTGTAGATTTCGCATGTGTGTTTTAGCAATAAAACACCAAGCCGCACATGCGTAAGTCATTGCTGGTCTTATGACCACCTTATAGAGTCGAATCTTGTTAATCAAACTTAATTTTGATCGTTTACATAATAATGGGTAAAGCTGCCGAAACGTAATTTGGAATTTAGTTTTTAGCGCTTCCATATGGTTCCGCGAAGTCATCCCTTTGTCCAGAATGACACCGAGATAGTTAGCGGAGGATTCCCATGGTATACGAAGTCCATTCACTGAAACTTCAGACGGAACGCCGCGACGTCTTTTTGTACAGTAGATTGCCTGCGTGTTCGAATGGTTTATTTTAATTAACCACCGATCCGCCCAATCTGATACTTCCTCCACCGCACTTTGCAGCCTGTCATGGACTAGGTGGCCAGACCACGACTGAGCCACCAATGCAGTATCGTCAGCATAGAGATAGACTTCACAGTTGCCAGGACTAGGGACGTTATGGATGTCCAGTGAGTAAAGGATAGGTCCAAGGACCGAACCCTGAGGGACGCCGGCTGTAATCAGCCGTGTTGTCGACAGGACGTTGTCAATTTTGATCCGAAATTTCCTACCTTCAAGGAAGGATTTCAGTAGTTTTAGAAGCCAAAAAGAGAAGCCCTTTTGGATTAGTTTATACAAGAGGCCCGCGTGCCACACCTTGTCAAATGCTTTTGAGACATCCCGTCACACTTTTCATCTCCCTTCTGGTCACAAAGCTGGCAAACTGATTTTTCCGTAATTTCAGTTCCGTGGGATTCGATTTCTATCTTATCTACTTCGCTACTGTCATTTTTCAACTGTTTTTCTATAAAACCTCCTCATTTTCGATCTTTTCGATTGAACTGATGACTGAGCCAACGGTAACATCACAACCAAACATTGCCTGGTACGGTGATCTTTTAATTCCAAGATAATATCCTTAAATTTTCATTAGTTGAACGAATCTTAGTCCTTCAGATCATTTTTGACAATGTTCATCGGTCATCCACACCATGAGCATTTTTTCGACATCTTGGTTGGCACGTTCTACGTTACCTTGTGACTGGCTGTGGTGCGGCTTCCCATGCACAATCTTTGGACCTGGCCACATTTATGTCAAATTTCCCACAACTCGGTTAACGAACTCCCGACCATAATCAGATTGCAATATAGGTGATGATCCGAATACGCAAAATATATCCAGCAGTACCGTTGATACTTTCTCAGCCCTACTTTGTAAAGGGCGTAGCTATACGAACATCGTCAGATGTTTCTGGTACACTGATATGAATTTAAAGTTGCCGTCTGGATTTGTGTGCATGTCTATCAAATCTACCTGGCAACGGCTATTCAGCCCTTAGATAAAATGGGTTTCACAACAAGACCTTTTTTGATTTAATTTTGTTTCATTTGACATGACTTACAAAAACGAAGATAAATAAGAACAGCGTCCTGAGTGTTGTTTGCGTACTTGGTATTAGCTTCTACAATCATCCTATTTCTCCCGCCGTGCCCAATGCCCACGTGTATTTCATGAAGAACATCTAACATGTCTTCATTCTTAACGTAGTATTTTCGCCTTTTGGATAACGGAACAATTAACTTCTGGAAGTCACCAATGCAGCACGCATCGATACGTCAGAACCTGTTTGTGACGCTTACATCTAGTTTTAACCACTAAGGATTAGCTAGACCTAGGTGTAGCAGAGATCAAGTTGATTGGACCTAGTTTTAACCGAATGCAACCGGCTAATATGTACTAGGTTTGGCCATGAATGTATAGGTTACACCTAGGACTAACCAACTCCCAGTGGCTACCGGCTAAGCCTTTTTGTCACCGCATTTCAGGTTTTAGCCGCAACATATACAACACAAGATCACGCGATCTAAATCGCGGTTGTTTAGCCGCTATATTTAAACGTCGACGTCAAGCTGAATTTACATGAGTTGTTTGGCATACCTTCGTGACCAGTGGAGCGACTTAAATTTGTTATTTAGGCTCATATTACTCCTTTTTCAAATACTAGTATACAGGGTTGCACATTAATGAGTGGACGGAAAATTACTTATAAACAAATACATTTTGGGGAAAATCTATTCATTGCATGTTATACATGACATTTGAGGGCACATTTCTAAAATGCTGGCAATTATACAGGGTGTCCCAATGTTGACCTACATATCAAAGTTGTGATTTTTCAAATGGAATGCATATTTGGATAAACCAATTTAAAAGAGGAAGATTGATCTAACATACTGTGGGGTTTTGATAATTAGCTACTGAGATGTAAGATGTTTTGTCCAGAAAAACCGTCCACTTCGGCAACCCGTCAATCCGCCATTTTGAAATTTGGAGTACTGAATTTTGTGTCAAAACAAACTTACGCACCTCAGCTTTTATATTATTTGTTACTTTTTCGAATTTTCATTTTTGGTCATACAGGCTGGTCAAAAACGCGAATTGTACTTTTTCTCAAAAATATCAGATGCATCATCCTGTATACTTGTACCAGTTTAGATTCAATTTTTTATAAGCTGGTATAAGGTTTGATTCAGATGAATTCACTAGATTTTAAGTTATTAAGCTTTCAGTAGAACAACACACCAAAATTAAGGGAAAAAATCACATCATCCATGGAAACAAAAGACAAACAGTGGGCTAGTTCCATATTGCCACTAAGAGTACAGATTTGACGTAAAAACTAATAAAAATCAGAACTGTATAAATGAGTTTCAAGCGTAATAGAGAAAAACAACTATAATAACAACATAAGTAACTATCACTACTCAAGACCAAATCGACAAAAACTGCTCGAAAATATCTCCATCATGTTGAATACACAGCCGTAGTCTTTGCACATCTCTCAGCATGCGTTCCCTTAGAAATTCATCCTTAAACCTTTCCATCATATTTTCCGGGGTAGATGGTGGATATCTATAAACATCTTGCTTAACGTAGCCACATAGAAAGAAGTCCATCGGTGTCATATCTGGGGATCTAGGAGGCCAAGAAATAGGCCCCTCACGACCGATCCAACGATTGTTACTCCAGGTGTCTAAGTAGTTACGCACACGATTATGATAATGCGCAGGTGCGCTGTCATGTTGGAAGTACTTATGTATCCGAGTTTGTTGACATCCTCCAAAAGCAAAGGCAAATGCTCGATCAAAAAATTCAAGTATTCTGTACCTGTTAATCTGTTGTCGAAAAAGAAAGGCCCAATAACTTGTCTGCCAATAACTCCTCTCCAAACATTCGAGCTCCATTTATTTTGGAAATCTATTTGCCTAACCCAGTAAGGGTTTGCCGTCGCATAATAGTGCATGTTATTCCTGATGACAACCCCTATGCTGTTAAAAGTTGCCTCATCCTTAAAAAAAACCTTATCCAAGAAAGTAGTGTCTTCACTCACTTTATTTAGCATTATTCTACTAAACTCCATTCGAGCTGCGAAATCCTGAAGACGAAGGCCTTGATGCAAGCAAGGGTGATATGGATGGTACCTATCCTTGTGAATAATACTTTGGACACAAGTTCTGCATATGTCAGTTTCTGCTCCAATTTGCCGTGCACTTAAATGGGGATTTTCCTGCAACCTTAATAGAACCTCCAACTGATTCGCCTCATTGGTGACACTTGGATTATTTATACATTTTTTACTATATTCCACTGCTCCACTTGATTCAAAACGTTCTCGTAGTGTGGAAAATGTTTCCGGCCTTGGATGTCGCATATTAGGGTACCGTTGCTTATAAATGCGAGAGGCTAGTAAACTATTTCTTTGGGCTTCGCCCAAAACGAACACCATATTCACCATTTCTTCTTTAGAAAAACCCATTTTCAAACACGTTCTTATTATAATGCTCACAAAGCTAATTGTGACAGTTTGTAACTAATCAATAATTTATTTGTTTCCAAGGATGATGCGATATTTTAGGGAATTAAGCCGTTCCATAAAAGACGTGCTGATCACCATAAAAAATAGCCGTAAGAACCCTTATGTGTCTAGTACAAAAAAAAAACTTATAAAAAATTGAATCCAAACTTGCACAAAGATACCGGGTGATGTATTTAAATTTTTTGATAAAGACTTCAATTTGCGTTTTTGACCACCCTGTATGAGCAAGAATTAAAATTCGAAAAGTAACAAATAAGACAAAAGCTGAGGTGCAAGTTTTTTTTATACAAAAGTCAGCACTGCAAATTTCAAAATGGCGGACTGAGGGGTTGGCGAAGTGAGGGGTTTTTCTAGACAAAACACCTTATATCTCAGTAGCTAATTACCAAAACCCCATAGTATGTGATATTAATTTTCTTCTTTTGAATTGGTTTATCTAAATATGCAATAAAATTTGAGGCATTTCATTTGAAAAATCACAACTTTGATGTTTAGGTCGAAATTGGGACACCCTGTATAAAGCCCAATATTTTAGAAATGTGCCCTCAAATGTCATGTACATATAACATCTTATAAATAAATTTTCCCAAAATGTATTTGTTTATGAGTTATATTCCATCCACACATGGATGGGCCATTTTGCCCATTTTTCGATTAATCCAAAAATTCTAGGGATATCTTAGTGTCATTAATTCTTATCATTTTGCAAACGCAGTATGCACTACGTATGCATGTAAGACGATCTATTTTAATAGAGCTAAAACCACTTTCGAACTGCTCAAAGTGTTGCTTTTAATACTCTTTAAGGCATTATTTGCAAATATTACCACTAAAAACAACTAAGCATTCCAAATTTTTCAAAGATAGAATCTCTGACTATAAGACTGGGTACTACCAGTATGATTATGTGTGCACTTATATGTGCTTTGAATTCTATTCCGAAACTTGACAATATGTATGCGAGTAGTATTCAAAAGGATGATCACGAGATCGGAATCGTGGTTTTAGGGCTGCAAAATATTTATCCTAGCGTATATTTCATTGATTATTGAATTATTCGAAACATGTATAATGTAAAAAAATTAAAATCGGTTTAGTCGTGAAGATATGTTTAATAACCTTTGTACAATTTGGCGGCCAAACAAGCTGAGAGATACCTCACGTACTGCTTATTATAATTACACATTTGAAAAGTATTTATTGTTCGATTAAAATGTTGAATAAATAATGTCCGTTGCCTGTTACATTATCTTAAATATAGCATTTCTTTGTCCGAAATCAACCTCCCTTAAGCTAATGCAAAACATATAACCTATATACTTTACAGTGCTTCACCTGAGGGGAGAAGCGGGTATAATCAATTGCACATATGTACATTTCATTATATAACTTATAATAATAAAATAACAATTCGTATACCTAATTTTTGGTTTTCACCTTCATCTTTGTTCGGTATATTTATTTGAACCTAATTATATACGGGGTGAGTTTTTGGTATGAGCTTGGTGGATAACCACATTATTTCCAATGGTATCCAAGAAAGTTGAACACAAAAATTGTATCCAGGTACATGCTCCTTACCGGAAAGTATTTTTATCTCTGTAAATTAATTCATAACTACGTGAAGACGCAAACATACATTTTTTAATTCAAAAGCCTTATTGCATATTTAGAAAGATCTCTTCAAATTAAACAATTTGAAATCACATAACATAGAATTTCATTTCAAAATTGTTAAAATATTGTGCAATCTATCGAAGAAAAACAGTCAACTTTGATATCTGACACCTCCGCAACTGTTACAGCTGGTGTACTGAATTTTCCGACAGAAAAATGTTTGGGTCCCATTTTGATTCCCTATCTACTTATGGTTTGTTCGTACAGCCTCTATGCTGACAATCAGCAAACTGATAGTCGGCGACAGGTCATGACCTAGTTTACGCAGTTAGCTGTCACTGACACATGATAACGCTAAGAGTTGGCTGAGAAAGGTAAGAAGAAAGGTAATCCGCTATTCGTACAGAAACTTCTGACTGTTTGGTGACTGTCAAATTAGTCAGTAGATAATTTGCCAGTAAATGGTCAGAGCTCGAAATCAAGTACAAACATTAACCCTTCCGGCAGGTTTTAATGACCCTACCAAAATTAATGATTATTTTATGTCTGTTTATAGCTATAAACCTGTTGATTCCCTAGTTTGCGAAAACTATTTCAAAAATAAATTAAGCTCTGAATATATTTTTTCATTGAATAAGATTAGTTCAAATGACGTATTACAGGCAATAGGGAGCCTAAAATCTGATGCGAAGGGAATTGATGGTATATCCCTGTCAATGATCCAGCTTTGCCTGCCAGTTATTCTCCAACACATCGTCCACATCTTTAACGACTGTTTGGAAAAAAGCTACTTTCCAAACACATGGAAACAAGCTCTAATTATTCCAATTCCTAAAAAAATGAAACCCACTGAGTATAATGATCTCAAACCTATCAAAATTTTAGAAAAATTATAAAGTTCCAATTGACCGCTTACCTAGAAAAATTCTTTATACTTCCCGACACTCAATCCGGTTTTAGAAAAAAATATAGTACATCTGCCCTATTTAATCTGCAAGACAATATTTTAAGTGCCTTAGATAAGAAAATGGCACTAGCCTTAATCTCTATAGACTATTCGAAAGCCTTTGACAGCATCAATCATAAATTATTACTTGCTAAATTAAATTACATAGGTCTTGACAGTGTATCCCTTTCATTTTCCGACAGTTACCTTCATCAAAGAACTCAGTGTGTTTTTCTCAATCAAGAAATGTTTCAAGTGACAATAATTCCCTCAGGCGTACCTCAGGGCTCTGTATTGGGGCCGCTTCTGTTCCTCATATATACGTTCGACTTAAGCAAAAGTATTGATAATTCTCATGTCCAGTCATTTGCAGACGATATGCAATTGCTCCATTATTTTAACCCAGATAATGTCAATAATACTACTCAAATTTTACAAAACGATGTTAATAAATTAATTAAATAGTCTTTAGATCACAATCTACTTATTAATCTAAAATGTTATTATTTTGCGCACAAAGAAAAACATACAATGTAACACAGCTCTTGAACATTCAGATAAATAACCAAATTTTGCAATTTTATGATTCTGCAAAAATTCTTGGTGTTGTTTTTGATAGAAAATTAAGGTTTATTGAACATGTTAAAAGTCTATCTCAGAAAACCTACCTACGGCAGCGCACTCTTATAGCAAACAGGTATTTACTAAATTTTAAGTTGCGTAAAAAACTATGTGAAGCATTGGTCATATCTATACTAAATTATTGTAATATCGTATACTATACTTGTTGAGACAATTTCACTAAAAACATTATTCAAGTTATTCAAAACAGTTGCATACGATTCATTTTTGGCTTACGTAAATTTGATCATGTATCAGCGAAATATCCCGTTCTAAACTGGTTAAAAATTAATGACATGGTCAAGTATCACTATTCAGTTTTTGTTCACATATTGCTGCTCACGTCTAAACCTTATTACTTGAAGGACAAAATTTTATTTAATAATGCTGTTCACTGTAGAACTCTCAGAGAAAATTATATTAGAATACCCCTGCATACGTCTACACTTTTTAAACGCAGTTTTTCTTAGAATGTTGCTATTATTTATAATGACCTTCCTAAAGTATATAAAGAATTTTCATTACCTGTCTTTCGACAAAAAGTTAAAACATCATTACTCAACCCTCCAAACATATAATTTACGTAATCATTCATTTCTTTTTTATTCCATCTTTAATTCAGGTCAAGAATACAAAATAAACTATTTCTCATAATTTTCAACTGGAACACCCTGTACACTTTTTGATTCGTCTTTTCACAAGCCGTTTTCTGTCATCAGGCTTATGGGGGTTTGTTCATACTAATGAAGACATTAGTACCCCCAGGACACTGCACCTTGAGCCGGCTGCCTCACTTGCTAACCGCCTGTAGCCGGCCCTGTGTACGACTGTTTTTTTAGTTTCTAAAAACACGCCGGCATCTTCTTGGCTTTTCAACTCCATTGAACAAGGTTGAGTACATTTAATTTAAAATGAATAAGGCATGCCAATTCTAGTGATCTACTGAGATCAACTTAATATGATACTATTTTAATTTTGAAAGGTGTTGTAATATTTTTCATTTACCTCAATATCTGATACGCAAACAGGTTAGCTGTAACTAAAAACCAGTCGTAAAAACCTCCATAAGCTTTTTTTCAAAAAACATTTTAAAAGCGGAACCAAATATTGTGAAAATAAACACTTGAAAATTTTGGGTAATCGTTGGCGCGCTCGATCACGATAAACTATCAAGGAGACTAAAGGAGTGGAGTAGAGTGGATAGGGAGAAAATATGGATCACAAAATTTTCCTGGCGAAAAATTTAGTACACTAACTACAACATCTGCGGATGTGCAAGTTGTCGACGTTGAGGGTTTTTTTTTGTTAGGCTGTCCAATATCTCAACAAAATCAAACCCTATAAAATGTTGTACCAAACTGCTTTGTTTAAAAGAGCCTGTCCAAGTCTGCAATAAAATATAGGTACTTTTATTTAAAAGATGTATGTAAAAATATACTGGGTAACCACGTATTTATAAATCACCATGTAAAGATAAAAATATTTTTTACGTAAGGAACAAACAGTTGGCTACAATTTTTGTAATAAACTTTTTTTATCGACTCAACCCACACTTAAAACTCTGTATTACACTCTAAAAATGATTTACCGCAATTTATCAAACCAACCGCGTTCATAAAACTCCTGAACCATCCACAAAATTTTTTCTTTCGCCAGTGGCGACACTTGTATCTTATTGTTTTCTATATCGGCCTTTTTTCCCTTTTCGGTGAATATTACCATTGGTAGAAACCACAAGCTGTGTACAACTATATTTTCAATGTTTTCTTTAATTTCCTCAATAAACTTGTCGTAACCGAATCCAACAGTACTACATTTCAGCTCTTCCAGTACTTGAATGAAGCATTTGTGATAGCACTGCAAGAAGTCATCCAGGTGACTTTTAAGTAGGTCTAGAGGTACACTGGTCATCAAGAAAAACATCAAATCGTCCACTGGACTATCGTAGCTATAAAACTGGAAGTCAACCAGTTTGATATTTACGTCACTTTCACAGAATTTCACCATAATATTATTGACCCAAATGTCTTTGTGTACAATAGTACTGAAGGGTTCTCTGAAGTTCTCTACTTTCATGTACTCAGACTTTTCAATGCATTTCTTCACCATGGGAAGCGCTGGAGCACATTCTTTGCATTCACTGATGAACGACACGTAATTCTCTTCAAAGTTGTCATCTTTTTCTGGCTTCTTGTGTTCAAGGAAACAAGCCAAATGCGGTTTTACTTTCTTTTCGAATGTTTCTGGCTCCATCAGTTTCAAAGCTAAAGGTGTAGCATGAAAGTAAGCTATTACTTCAAGAATGGCTTTGGTGCTCTTCATATCGAATCCTTTGTGACGATCAAGGTTGCCGAAACCTAAAATAAACGAAGCGATTCACAATTAGTCGCAATCATCTCAAACAAAATAAAATAAGTTCCCCATGAGCGTGGGTTAGAAAGTACATACAACGCTGTAAACCATAACATACTGAATTTTCATCTACTAACTAATCAAAAATCGGGCCAGTTTCAGAAAAAAAATTAATAAACTGTTTTTCAAAGGAATTATATTTTAGAGGATATCTGAAAAGGCTCCTTCCACCTAGAAAAAAATGCCGGATGTCCTTTTTATTGAAGTTCAATGTTGAAAAAATCACATTTTCACGTATATTCAAATAGTTATGAATTAATAGTTGAGCGGACCAAAATAAGTTGAATGAAGATACATTCAAAATGAGACCTAACACGGCCAATTTGCTTCCTATTCTATTCGTCATTGTCAGTCATAGCGGTCCGTAGGACCTTTGTTCTTGTGTCAATGTACGTCAGTCAGTTTATGTTGAACTTTCCAGAAACCAGGCAGCAGAAGAAAAAAGAATTAAAAAAAAGGAAAGCCAAAAGTACAACCTGTTAGAAAAAACGGCTGAGCATTATTTAAAGTTGCTGTAATAATTTTGAATTCCGAAGAAGAATTTGGTTGGAGTTTTATTAAAATATAATTTTATATTATAAAAAATTGCGAGATTCAATTTTGTTCACAGTGCGACCTGTGGCTTGGAATGTTTGCGAGCTTGCTCCACTGTGAAGTCAGCTGACTCGAGCAACAAATGCTTGCATTGCGATTGTGTTGTTCATACGAGTGATGTCTTTTAAGTTTTGCATATGGAAATAAAACAACACGGTAGGTAGTTTTAAATGACTTTATTGTTTTTAGAAGCATTCTCCACGAAGATTAATACACATCTGCATGCGCTCGAACCAATTTTCGAAGCTCTTATTCCACTCGTTTGCTGGCAGATCCAAAACGGCATTTTTGAATTTGTCAACTGCTTGTTCCAGTGACTGGAACCCTTTTGACCACGCAGTCTGTTTTTCATTTTCGGGAAAGCAAGGAAATCGATAGGACTTAGAACAAAACTCTATGGAGGATGGTCCAATAATTCAACGTTTTCTTCCGTTAAATACTGCCTTGTTTTTTGGGCTGTGTCCGAGCTTGCATTGTCTTGGTGGAGGATGATTCTTCTTTCGGGGTTGATTTTTCGAAGCTCGGTGATAACTTTTGGCAAACAAAGGTGGTATACCAATCCGAAGTAACAGTTTTTTGCTCATTAAGAGGAATTGTTGCAATATGACCCGCTTTTGACACAAATGTCGCGACCATCTTTTACGAAACTCTTCGAGAACGGATGACTTTTGTTGGGTTTTCTTCACCTTGGAACACCCAAACACCCGAGTGTTATTTATTTTCTGGTTCATAACAGTAAATCCACGATTAATCACCACTAACAATGCTGTACTTACACATTTTTTGAATTTCCGGAATTGAAACGGTCAAACGTTTTTTGACACCAATTAACCCTGGCTGCTTTCTGCGCTTCAGTCAACAGAGGGGTATCCAACGAGAAACTAATTTTCTTATTACTAATTCTTCATGTAAAATTTATTGAACTGAAGTCTTTGAGATCGTCAAGGACGCCTCAATCTCGCGATATGTCACATGTCTATCTTCAATGATGAGTTTGCGCACAGCATCGACGTTTTCCTGGGTGACTGCCATTTTTGGTGCACCCACCCTGGGATCGTCGCTAAGACCCGTCCACGTTTGAATTCTCCACACCAACGGGAAATTGCCGACTGATGTGGCGCTTCGTTGCCGAAAACAGACAGTAACTCAGCAAGGCATTCTTGTTGCGATAATTGTCTCTGAAAGTTGTAATAAATCATGGCGTGAAAATATTCTCGGTTGAGTTCCATTTTTCTAATGACTTGGTGACACTTAAAGATTCACTGTAGTGAGAACACTGCACGTATTGTTGTGAATCTTTGAATTTAAGTTTACTAAAGAGCGAGGTTAAGATTCAGTACTGACGTTCGATCTGTGCGGCCTACTATGTTTCTATATGCAAATAGTTATGAATTAATAGTTGAGCGGACCAAAATAAGTTAATTGAAAATTCAAAATGAGACGTAACACGGCCGATTTGCTTTCTATACTATTCGCCATTATCTGTCATAGCGGTCCGTAGGACCTTTGTTCTTGTGTCAATGTACGTCAGTCAGTTTATGTTGACCTTGCCAGAAACCAGGCAGCAGAAGAAAAGACGTCTGAGCATTCTTTAAGATTGCTGTAATAATTTTTAATGCCGAAGAAGAATTTGGTAGGAGTTTTGTTAAAATATAATTTTGTATTATAAGAAATTGCGAGATTCAATTTTGTTCACAGTGCGAGCCGTGGCCTGGAATGTTTGCGAGCTGGCTCGAGTGTGAAGTCTGCTGACTCGAGCAACAAATGCTTGCATTGCGATTGTGCTTGTTCACAATATCGCTGCGCCTGATACTTAATGTAATCCTCTAAATAAGGGATGTCGAGATTTCCGTGTAGGGTTTCGTTTGAAACATACCATGGGGCATTGGTCATGGTTCGAAAGCTCCTGTTTTGCAGGACTTGCAGAGCTCGGATGCGCGTATCCGCTATAACAGCAAGCTGCATCTGCGAATGTAATGGTGGGTTCTGTTAGTCATTTTATAAAGCCGCATTTTATTAACCGAACTCAATTTTGAAGATCTACATAACTAAGGATCAATTCGTCAGAAAGTAGTTTGGAATTTAGTTTTAAGCGTTTCTGTGTTTCCGCCAGATCAAACCAGTGTCAAATGTAACTCCAAGGTATCTGACAGAATTTGCCCACGGTATCAAAGTCCCATCCACATGGATCTCTGACGGGGCACCGTGACTCCTGTGTTTTCGAAAGGTTAATTTTGATCAGCCCCCGATCTGCCAACACTTCTTCCACCGCACATTTATGCTGTGCAGTATGCAGTGTCAGACTTCACTGTTGCCTGGGCTAGGAGCATCATGAATGAATCTAGAATAAATGAATGGCCCAAGGACTGAATCCTTATAGACGGCCAATTTGCTGTAACGGTTAATTTGCATGAAACATCTTAGATTTATACATTTATTTTTAATTGCATAATGGCAAGCCTAAACCTAAAATAATAGTCAAATGTTGATAGCTTTGTAGTGCATAACATCCAAGAAATGTCATTCAAAAAAGCTCAACCGTCTCTGTTTTTTGAATATTACCATTTTTTTTTTACAAAAATAGCCTTTTTTGACGAGCTGTCCAGCGACTATGGCCTCATATGCTACTCATTCTCCTACCACGTGAAAAAGCGTATGTAGTGTATTAAGAGAGTAATCATACCTCACAATAACGTTATTTGAACAATCTCCATGTTTTAGCCTTATCCAGTCTCATTTGTGCGTGAAAATTTAAAACACCCTGTACTTCGGTAGTGGGACACTTTATGACCTATGTTTATATATACAGGGTGTTTCAGTTTATTGTTGCATAACTTTAAGATTCGATAGAACTTTTAAAATTAATGCATAAAGTCTATATAAACATGGGTCGAAAAATGCGTGGCTTCCGAAATACAGGGTGTTTAAATTTACTTTCTAAAATAGTTTTTTTTAAATATTTTGAACAATATTTAATGCATAATAGTAAAAATTGGTATACAAGGGTTTTTTGGTACGAAAAAACGAACCATGGGCATAGGTTTACTGTAGCCGATAGAGGGCGCTCTCTACTGTACCTGTAGTGTATGAAAAAGACCAAAAATCTTTTCTTAGTGCAATTTTTTGCTTTTTGAATAAAAAAACTGATTCTTCGCACTCTTCAACATAAAAAAGCTCTCCTGTGAATTTTCGTTATAGTTAGCCGTTTTTGAGATATATTTTATTTCTAAGGTTCGATGCATTTTTAATTATTTATGATAAAATAACGTTAAAAAGTCAGTATCTCCATAATTTTTAGAAGTAGGCTGTGCCTTCAAATATTTTTGAAATCGAAAGCAGAATAAGGTTAAACGTCAATTAGTTGACAGTTAGTTTTGTTGTCTGTTGAAACCTGAAACGTTTTTTGCAATTGTGAATGCACGAAATTTAGTTTCTTTTACCTGTTTTTTTTTTTTGTAAGTTTTATAAAAATGTCATTTTTATTCTCCAATCAAGAGTTAGCGGATATTCATTTTGTGTATGGCTTTGTAAATGGAAACGCAGCAGAAGCAGCCAGAGAATACGCACGATTTCCAAACAGACGACATCCAACTCGCTCAGTATTTGTAAGAGTGCATCGCCAAATAATTGAAAATGGTTTTGGAAATCTTCAAAAGGATCAAAACATAAATGCTCGTCAGCGCAGATTTACCCGTATGATTCTGCGTGAGTTTGATGGAGATCCGACCACAAGTTTTAGGAGAGTTTCTGGTGCCTTGGGAATTTCAGCAAGCCATGTTCACCGTGTTCTTAGAAATGACCATAGACGTCCTTAGCATTTGCAACCTGTGCAAGGACTACAGCCAGGGGACGGAGAACGAAGAATCACATATTGTCAGTGGATTCTTGATAGAACTGATAATAATAGGGAGTTTTTAAGTAACGTTTTATGGACCGATGAGTCATGCTTCGCTAGACGTGGAGTGGTAAATTTTCATAATCAACATATTTGGTCGCATGAAAATCCGCGTGCAGCTCGGGAAAGAAATTTTCAGCATGAATTTAGTGTGAACGTGTGGATTGGTATCTACCGTAATCGACTATTTAGACCCTACCTTTTGCCTGCAAGGTTAAATGCTGCGACCTTCTTGGAATTTTTAAAGGCTGAACATGCAAATATGTGGGATGATGTTATGTTAGATTTAAGAAGATTGGCCTGGTTCCAGCTTGATGGTTGTCCAGCTCATTATTCGAGAATAGTTAGAAACTGGCTGGACGAAAATTATCCAGAAAGATGTATCGGCCGTGGAGGACCAGTCGCCTGGCCTCCACGATCCCCTGACCTAAATCCGTTAGATTTCTTTGTGTGGGGATTTGTAAAAGAAAAAGTGTACCAGACTCCCGTAACCACAAGAGATATGCTAATAGACAGAATCAGGAATGCATGTGATGAAATAAGGCCTTATTTGAATAATGCTATACCACGTTCGATCATTCGTAGATGTGAATTGTGTATTGAACAATTGGGTTTACATTTCGAGCAACTTCTTTAGATTTTGTATGTTTGTCCTAACTATCCAATAGCATTTTAGTTGTAAATAATTAATTTAATTTGTTGAAAATAATATTGGAAAATTAAACAAATTAATATTCTGTTTTTTGTGTTTATTTGGAGTTAGGAATTATTGCTGTGTTTAAAAACACAATCTAAACGATCATCTTAATTACTTGTAATGCCCAAATCGAAAATGTAAAAAAATATATCATTTTCCCATAAATAATTAAAAATGCATCGAACCCTAAAAATCGAAATATCTCAAAAACGGTTAACTATAACGAAAACTCACAAGAGAGCTTTTTTATGTTGAAAAGTGTGAAGAATCAGTTTTTTTATTCAAAAAGCAAAAAATTGCACTAAGAAAAAATGTTCGGTCATTTGAATACACTACAGGTACAGTAGAGAGCGCCCTCTAGCGGCAACAGTAAAACTATGCCCATGGTTCGTTTTGTCGTACCAAAAAACCCTTGTATACCAATTTTCACTGTTATACATCAAATATTGTTCGAAATATTTAAAAAAAAATTATTTTAAAAAGTAAATTTAAACACGCTGTACTTCGGAAGTCACGCATTTTTAGACCCATGTTTATATAGACTTTATGCATTAATTTTAAAAGTTCTATCGAATCTTAAAGTTATGCAACAATAAACTGAAACACCCTGTATATACAGAGTGTTAATAAAGTGTGTAGATAAACTTTAACAATCGAATCCTTGGTCAATTTGATGACGAAATTTCCATATGAACATGGGTCCGCAACGGCTTTGTTTTCAAGCTATAGCATATTAGCACTAAAGGAAATTATGATATTGTTCTAAAAAATTATAAAAGAATGGAACGTATTTCATTTTAATTAAGTATGATCTGTGGTGAATATCAGATGATTCACAGTTGTTTTCAGACCATCAATGTACGTAGAAACGGATAATGTTATCCAGTATTTTTTGAAAAAAATAGCATGACATTGATTCGTTTTATCGCAATACTTTCAATATTTAAGCACTGTGCTTATCTAGACACCTATGACGTACCCGAAAACAATTGAATTAATTTATTTTCTCAAATAATTCAAATAATTCGACAGCTGTCAAATATTTGTTTTCTTGTCTGGTGATTCTAAGATTCCAAATATTTCTAAGTTTTGATGATTACTAATTGTCATAATGGTACAGTTCAGTAATCAAGAAATGACAGATATGCATTTCGTTTACGGAATGGCTCTGGGTAATGCTCGACGAGCACGACGTTTGTATTGTGATCGATTTCCACAACGCCCGCTGCCTAATGTACAAACTTTCATCAACATTCACGCTCGACTATGTAAAATTGGCAGTTTCAAGGGTTCCACACATATTGCAGGAAGACCCGCAAGTGTAAGAACCATCCAAATCGAAGAAGCTGTGCTTAATAAAATCGAAGAGGGCCCTACAACACAAGTACACACAAAAAATGCGCTACAGCTAAATTTAAATTATACTAAGTGACATATAAATCCGAACACCCAGTTTAAATGGTTTTATTTTAATAAAATTTTGTATAAGTACTTAATGAAGCATAATAAGTAAATGATAAAAATTTCAAAATGATTGCACTGCTTTAAAGCCCTTTGACCTTTAATAATGTGTGGATGCACCCTGATGTGCTACGCATTCTCCAACGCGCCTAGGCATGCTTCTGATCAGGTGGTCAATGTCCTCCTGTGGTATCTCATTCCAGGTAACCACCAACTCCTCTCGAAGTGCTTCTAGAGTCTGAGGAGGACGTTGCAAATTGAGCAATCTTCTACCCATCATATCCCACACGTGCTCAATTGGGGATGAGTCGGGAGATCTTGGTGGCCATGGTAACAATGTGACATCATTATGTTGAAAGAAGTCTATTGTGACTCTTGCAACATGTGGTCGGGCATTATCTTGTTGGAAAGTTGGATCTGCCAGGGTGTCAAGATAGGGTAAAAGATGGAGTTCTAGAACTTCGTGGATATAACGCTGCGCGTTCATGTTACCTTTGATGAAGATTAACGGTGACCTGGAACAATAAGCTATAGCACCCCGAACCATAACTCCAACAGTGTGATGAACATGTCTTTCAACAAAAAACTGTGGATTTCTCCTTTCACCACGTCGCCTTCTAACCCTGGCACGATCATCGTGCATGTCTAAACAAAATCGAGACTCGTCACTAAAGACAATACTGTTCCATTCCTGATCCCAGAGTGACCGTTGTCTGCACCACTCAAGGCGATTACGTCGGTGTTCTCGAGTTAAAGGGAGGACCCAGTGTGGCCGGTATGAAAACAAGCCAAAACTTCTCATTCGTCTGTAAACACTTCGCATGCCAATAGGTCTTCCGTGTTCTGCAAACCATTCATTTGCAATGGACCTGGTAGTGAATAGACGGTCCCTTAAGGCCAATAATCTTAGGCGGCGATCTTCACGGTCTGTTGTTCTACGGCGGCGTCCAGTGTCCCTTGCTCTTTGCGTACGGCCTTCTCGAAGCCATGCCTGACAACACCTAACCACAGTGTCTACACTTCTTTGCACTCTAACTGCAATTGCCCGAAAAGAAAGTCCAGCTTCCCGAAGTCCCACTATACGGCCCCTATCAAACTCACTAAGTTGACGAAATCGTACAGGTCTCCGTACTCTAGGCATCGTAACTTATCGTAAAGGATGTCAAGAACCAAAATCCGCCAACGTTGATTATTTACTGCGGCTGAAATATTCATTTTTAGAGCGTTAGTGAATTTAAAAAAAGCAGTAAAAAAACCGGAATGTCCAACTGATAAGGCTGAAAATTTTTTCACTTGTTATTTACAGTAAGATAAATACATTCACCAACTTTTATTAAAATAAAACCATTTAAACTGGGTGTTCGGATTTATATGTCACTTAGTATATGTAACGGTATCAGCAACTTTATCCATATCATATACAACGAGTACAAGCGCTTTTGCCTCAAAATTTGCCTATAAGAGTTGATTTTTGCAACTAGTTACGTGAAAAAGTAACATTAAATCAATTTTTTTTAAATCGAATACTATTCACGGATGAAGAATGTTGTTAGCGAACAGCAATAATAAATTTCCATAATGACCATGTATGGTGGGAAGAAAATCACCATGCCATAATTGAACATAATACGCATCACTACTTTTCCTTCCCCTCAGTCTTAACGGCGAGGATTACCGAAGATTTATGGAATTTGACCTACCTAGATTAATGGAGGAAATTCTTCTTAGAGAAGGACGTCGCATGTGGAATATGCATGACGGTGCTCCATCACACTTCAGTGTCGTTGGGCGAGAATACCTAATCGGTGGATTGGAAGAGGCGGACCACAGATGGCCGCCTAGATCGCCTGACATGAATCCTATCGATTTCTTTTTATGGGGACATTTGAAATCATTAGTATACAAGACTCCTGTTCAAATCGTGGAGGACTTAAGAGTCAGAATTGTCGAGTCATGTCTGACTATACAAAATACTCTTAATACTAATACTTTTCAGGATAGTTCGTCAGTCAATGTGTAACAGACTAGACGCCTGTATTGAAGCCGAAGGTGGCCACTTTACTATTTTCATCCACGTTCATACTGAGCCTCAGTAACTTGTAAAACATGCAAAATTAAACATAGGTTATACCAACAGCTCAATCAATCCGTCTCATTATTCATAGAAATATTTGGAACATTGCTCGTATTTCTTTAGCGATAGTGCTCTAGCTCGAAAAGAAAGCCGTTACGGACCCATGTTCATATGAACATCTAGTCTTTAAATTGACCAAGGATTTGGTGGTTGAAGTTTGTTTACATACTCTATTAACACCCTGTATATGTTGTTATTTTTGTATGTACCTTCCACTCTAGGAATATTGCCGCGTTCTTCTCAATCACCCTGCATATAAGACTGACGACATCCTTGTGTAGACGATATGAGTATGGCTAATCTGAGCGAAACTGTATCTAAAAATATCTCACCTTTCGTTTTGATGTTATCCATTAACAGTACAGCGTTTGCATCAACTGGTCCTTCCATACCATTTAAATTCTTCCTTCCTCCATAGAATTTAGGGTAAATATCCTTCACCTTAGCTCCTTGCCTTCTTCTAAAATCTTCCAGGACTGGCACCACTGTGTCATAAAATCGCATCTCACTGACGAAGCTAACTTGCACGTTGAAAATTTCTTTGAAAAAGTCACTTTCTGGAATCATTTTCGCCACTACATGGAGCTCTTCCTCTTTACTTTTTTCGTCTTTTAATACCATGTCAACTCTCATCATTTCACTTCCATAGTTATCACCTGGCTGTGTTAGCCTGCTTATACTTGTTTTAATGATTTTCTTATGTTTGTCGATGTACTGGCTCACTAGATCTTCGATCTTTTCTATTTTTGGTGCATCCGCCATAGTGAAAATTTTTTTACCGTGTCGTCAGGCAGTTGTCAGGAGTGTGATCTCTAGGAACGATCAAAGCACATTGACATGTGTATCTAAATTTCAATGCATAGTCTCGAATGTTTCTAATCCGTGCTTATCATTCAATTCAACAAACAAGCGTACACTGAAAAAAATGTTCATAGTTTACAATGGATAGCTACTTGATTGGATTAAGAGGTATACGAATTGTATATGGACTTGAAGAAAAAGCGATATATCGTAAATCAAGGACCAGTGAATAAGCACTTTTACGTATACAAAAATGTTGTCAAGTAGGCTGACTCTGCACTTCTCTCACAAAACTGGCATCAGTTCATAAAGGATTATGTTCGGCACAACTTAGCTACTCACATGTAAAACAAAAAATTAAATGTATCAAGTCAGCCAAACAAGCCCGTACAGTTCGTCCATAGTCCCCACCCATTCAATAGCGCTAAAAATATCTTCCCTGACTGACAAAAAGTATCGGCAATCTGTCACGTTACTGAACCACACCATGTCAGCGGTGGGCGGTATCAAGCACAGACAGGCTTCTGTGCGCTTGATTGTACAGGGTTTGTCCGGAAAGTAATTCATTTTCTTCCGCCATGACTGTACTTCGGTGCATGCGCGCACCGACTGGATTCGGTAGAGGGCGTTCCTAGCTAACGAATGAGCGGCTGGTCAGTTGTCTCCGAGCACTTGAAGAGTCAGGACAGGCATTTTCGTGCGACGTGTTTCTGTGAGTGGTGCAAGCCGAAAATGCAGCGTTCGTTAGATCAGAGGTAAGCGATTAAATTCTGTGTGAAACTCGGTAAATCTGCGACAGAGACGATTGATATGATCAAGCAGGCTTTAGCAAGAAGTGGTGTGTCTCGGTGGCACCAGGCCTTTTTGGAGGGCCGGGAAGAGGTCGATGATGAAGACCGTGCTGGAAGACCTTCGACTTCGACAAACACCGATAATGTGACTCGTGTGCGCAAAGTTTTGAACTCAGACCGTCGACTAAGTATTCGTTTAATTGCCCAGATGTTAAATTTACCAAAATCTGTGGTTCATGATATTGTGACACAGCATTTGAACATGCGCAAGGTGTGCGCGAAGAAGGTCCCAAAAGTGCTCACTGACGACCAGAAATTGCGGCGAGTGGAAGTGTGCCAAGAAAATTTGAACATGTGTGAAAGTGACCCCCAATTTTTGAATAACGTAATCACAGGTGACGAGTCGTGGATCTTTGAGTATGATCCCGAGACAAAGAGGCAATCTTCCGAGTGGCAGACGACGGCGTCTCCTCGCCCAAAAAAGGGAAGAATGAGCTAATCCAAAGTGAAAATGATGCTCATTGTCTTTTTTGACATCAAAGGCATCGTCCACCATGAATTTGTTCCTCCTGGACAAACCGTCAACGCCAAGTTTTACGTGGAAGTGCTCAGGGGATTCAAACGAAGGGTCAGTCGGGTCCGACAAGACATGGCAGCCGACTGGAAGTTGTACCACGACAACGCCCCGGCTCACACCGCCTTTGTTGCGAACAGCTACCTGTCCAAGGCCGGCATCCCAACGCTTCCGCAGCCGCCCTACAGCCCAGATGTGCCCCCCCCGGACTTTTTTTGTTTCCTCGCCTGAAAAGGCCGATGAAAGGCAAGTATTTTGAGACGACAGAGGGGATCCAAGCAGCATGCACCGCGGCTCTCAATGCTATTCCGGAGAATGCCTTCCGTGACGCCTTCAATGCTTGGAAATCGCGCTGGCAGCGCTACAACGACGCAGAAGGAGCCTATTTTGAAAGTTTTTAAAGAATTGTAACGATTGGCTCAATAATTTTTTTTAAATCGACTCAGTCCTATTACTTTCGGGACAAATCCTTAGAAGCAACCCCAACGCGACGCGTCTATTGAAAAAATTTCGTAGTTTAAAAAGCATTGCAATGCTTTGTCTAATACCGGAAGTGCCTAATGTTACCAGGGCAAGACCACCTCAGGCACAATCTGGACAGCCTAGGAACAAAGGAGCGGTCGTATCGGCCAGTTCAGGATGTACGAAGTAGAATCACGGCTAGAATGGAAGGCCAAAGTCAAAGTGCTTGACATAGCGGTAGAAGACAGCCCCAGCTCGCCGACTGCCCGTCGTTGTCACCGATCCGTCGGACAACCCTCTCCTGAACTCTGAGTATAAACAATGTAGTCGGGGCTGCACCATCCATAACATGTGAGGGGTACTCGAGACTATACTACAACTATTTAAAACTGTAATGACTCATACGCGTGATCAACACGTGATCAGAGCTCGATCCCGGCTTCCTTCCAGTACAGCCGTATAGCGTACGACATATGTCGTTTCTGTGGCTTTGCGGTGGTCAACAGCACAGACAAAGATGGAAATAATGGCTGATTGTTCTCCGCCTGTAGAACCAATGAAATCAAAGACGCGCCTCGACCGGCAGACTCATAGGCGTCGGCAACCCATTGGAACGTGTTTCGTTGAGCGATCGCATATTGTGTGTTTTTATAAGAATTGTTGTGTGATTGTTATTGTTGTGGTTTCTGTGGTTACTGTTTTGGTTATGCTTAACCATGGAGAGTACAAATGGCATGAGTGGAAGTACTGAAAGCCAGGGAACAAGTAGACGGCTTCGTAAAGCACTGAAGAGGGACGCGAAAGAAATCGTGCTCAACGTGTTCAATTATCTGAACAGAACTATGTCGCAGGGAGATGCTCTCGCGCGTTGTGAAAGTATGACAGGCGCTCGAGTGGACCATTCGCAGGGTGGTGCATGAAAAGAAGAAAACTGGAGCTACTACTGACCCAAAGTTTAATTTGAAGGGACGAAAGACCGTTAAATTGGATGACGATAGCAAAATGGCGTTAAGGCGAACCGTACATTCATTCTTCTTCAGGAATGAGATACCAACCCTCAAGGCTGTACATGCAGCGATCAAGGAAAATGAAATTACCCCAAATGAGCGTCGAGGTAATGAGGAAATCCCTGCACGAAATTAATTTTCGTTACGAAACGCGTAATCGGAAGTCAGTATTGATAGAGAGACCTAAAATAGTCGCCTGGCGTCGAAAATACCTACGCGAAATGATTGAATATAGGCGACAAAGCAGAAAAATCTATTATTTGGACGAGACATGGGTAAATGCAGGTCACACAGTTAAAGAAACCTGGATAGACAAAATCGTAGTGAGTAACCGACAAGCAAGCATTGAAGGTTTGTCAACAGGTCTTCGTGGACCGTCAGGGAAAGGTCAAAGATTGATCGTAACTCATATTGGTAGCGATAGTGGCTTTTTAGAAGAGTGTGACTTGATTTTCGTCTCTAAGAAAGGAGGTGATTACCATGACGAAATGAATGCCAGCTGCTTCGAGAGCTGGTTTCAAGGGATGCTTCAGCGAGTTGAGCCCAACTCTGTGATCGTCATGGATAATGCTTCCTACCGTAGTCGTCGAGCCGAACGTGTACCGACTATGGGATCTCGAAAAAGTGACATGCAGCAATGGTTGCGCGAAAAAGGTATCCCGTTTGACGATTCATGTGTGAAAGCAGAATTGTATGAATAAATTAAACAGCACAAACCTGCGAACATTAGTTACGTGTCTGATGAGATGGCCCGTCAATGTGGTGTCACTGTGCTGCGGTTACCGCCCTACCACTGTGAACTGAACCCAATAAAGCTCATCTGGCCTCAAGTGAAGGGTTATATTGCGCGCCATAACACAACTTTCAAATTACCAGACGTTAAGGTTTTACTTGAGACTTCCATACAGCTAGTAACGCCCGAAGCTTGGCAGAATGCTATCCGTCATGTTGTGAAGGAAGAAACAAAAATGTGGCAGCTTGACCACCACATCGACACCATCATAGAGCCAGTTATAGTCAATTTCAACGAGGAGAGCGATAGCGACAGTTTATTACTGTCAGATGTAAGTGCAAGCGACGATGAATAAAGGTAATTCCCAAATTTTTGACTTACAATATGTTTCAAACCACTCTTTATTAAGCATGTGACAAATCTAGTTCACCCATGTTAAACATTCATATCCCGCCTATGAACAGCCGACTGCTGGTAGTTAAGTGATGTTCACGTGAACATCGATGAGTCATTACAGTTTTAGATAGTTATAGTATAGATCTTAACTAGGCCTTGTAGGGAGAGGAGGGTAAGATGACGAATTGTTTATTTTCGGACGCTCTTACTAGATAGCGCCACTTTTTACTCTCTAGTCTATGAAACCTGCATTCAGTCTCATTTGTGCGGTACGCTAATGACATTTATGTATTGTGTATATGTCGTTGTAAAAATCGTGGTCGACTAAATAAGATTTTGTGGTTGTGAATTAGGGATTTTTTCTTCGCAGCAAGTATTTTCATAAAGGTTTAATTATTGTATGTGCAATGTCTATTAAGTTTTCTCAAAATACATGTGGGTTTTTGTTTATTGTTAAATTTATATAAAATGTTGGTGTCCGGTATGTTGGCGAATCTTCCAAGCGGATAAGATGACGAGTTCGTCATCTAAGCCCGATCTCTGTAAATCAGTATTTGAAAATAGGGTTTACGATTTATTTGCAGTGAACAACATGGTAAAACATATCAACGAAAGACGAATCGGCAAAGTTTGTCTAAGGAAGCGACGATCGCTGCTATAGAAGAAGTAAAGGGATCGTCTGTAAATGGCACAGCAAAAAAATATAAACTTCCAGATTGCGACGACGCTAAGAAATATTCTGAGGAGGTAACTAAATATTTAATAACGTTATTGTTTATATTATTATTGTTATTGTTTTTATGCAATATTAGATAACTTTTTTGTATGGTTAAAAAAGTTAAACATTATTTTTACAATATGCCAGTGAGTGCCGGAAGATTTAGATGCACATTTACAAATGAGCAAATGGAAAATCTAAGGCAATATGTAGAAGATGTAAATAAAAGAGCATTTGGTATAACTCGAGAACAGTTTGCAAGAATTGTCTACGGTTATGCCGTAACGCTTAGGATTTCTCACCGCTTTAACAATATTACTAAGAAGGCAGGAAAAGACTTTATTCAAGACTTTATGCAAAAATGTAGGTTTTCATTAAGAAAACCCGAAGCTGCTTCCGCAGCGAGATTGCAAGCTTTTAATAGAACAAGTGTCGAAGCATTTTTTACTTTATATCAAGAAGTGTTGGCCAAAACAAATTACGCTCCTCATCAAATCTTTGATATAGATGAGACCGGCTGTCCTACTATGCGTACTATAGAACTTCAAGCGTGCTAAGTCCAATTGGAACCCGTAGAGTCATAAAAGTGTCTTGTGCCGAAAAGGGCACATATGTCAGTGTGGCATGTTGTTTTAGTGCTGTGAGCCAATATATTCCTCCATTCTTTATTTTCCCGAGAGTAAGAATGCAACAGCATTTCTTAAATGGTGCACCTACGGGATCCTCAGGCGTCTGTAATGAATCGGGGTGGATGAACGCGGACACCTTTCTTTTGTGGTTACAACATTTTATAAACAATGTAAGGCCTTCCAAGTACAATCCTATTTTACATTTAATGGACAACCATTCGTCGCACGTAACCTTACCGGCAGTAACTTTATGTCGAAAAAACTTTATTGATGTTTTGGGTTTTCCTCCTCATACAAGTAGTCGTATGCAACCGTTGGATGTGTCTTTTTACGGACCCTTTAAAACCGCTTATAGCCGGGCATGCAATGATTATTTAATGCAACATCCAGGACAAGTCATTACAATTAAAGAGGGGATTTTTAGTGTGGCCTACAATAAGGTTGCCACAATAAAAAATGCTGTTCAAGCTTTTAAAGCAACTGGTTTAGTTCCACTAAATTCTCAAATTTTTGATGATTCGAACTATGAGCCTTCAATGACAACAGATAAGCCATTCGAAGTGCCAAAGGATCTTAATAGAGAAAACCCCTCTTCTGACAATGATATGTCAATACAAACTACAGCTACTATAGTCAAAATCATGAAAGATGACTATTACGTCATACCATAAATTGTGATGAAGTAATCAATGGACGTACGTCGATGATAAAATCACGATGTCAGGAACATAATGACAATAAATTAATAATCTGATTATGCGAAGTTAGGTAATTTCACTGATTATTTTTATTTTCATTTTATTTCATGGTTTTGAGTGATACCTTAATAATAATTTTAGTGGGGAGTTTTTGTTTTGAAAAAAACAGTTATGTATAGAATACATTAAGACAGGAACACCAAAGACCAAAGTATTATTCGAAAACAACCTAACCTGCTTTAACATAACCTAACTAACTATTCATCTTTCAAATATGATCAATCAAGCAACATGAAAACATCGTCTATCTTTGTCGGATACATGCAGCTCAGCAATACAGTTTGTTTAGACAGTAAATCTCTGTTTGTCTCTGTCTAACATATCTGAAACTTCATTCAAAATATTCACAAATCGCTGTCGTTAGTCTTTACTACAGACTAAAGTGATGACGTGATGAATCGTCATCTTTCGTGATTTCAACTATACTGAATTAAACCCAAGTGATACTGATGCTTCTTCAGTACTTGTCAACTCTGAAGTTATAGCAGGACCATCTAAAAGAAAGTTCACTTGCTACCCTCGAACCTACAGCTGGACCTTCTAAAACATTATTTGGCTTGCCTCAACTCCCTGTTTCTATTCCCACGATAAAAAAACCAAGAAAGAAATTGGAAAGTGACGAAGCTGAGAAAAAAATTAAAGAGGAGAAGAAAAAAGAAAGTCAGAAAAGAAAAGCTGAAAATGCTAGAAAAAATGCTAATAAACCGAAAAAGATGGCCACACAAAAGAAAAAACAGCAGAAACATGTTAGACAAATAAAGTTTGATAATGACAGTGTGTCTTTAGATTCCTCCATATCAATAGGTTACATGGAAAGTGATGATGACATCGATTACGTCGGAGATACAGAAAAAGTTTATTTAATTTGCAGTGAATCAGGCAAAGATGAACTTTGGTATGCCTGATCCTCTTGAAGTAAATGGGTGCATGCCGCCTGCACTGGTCTTACAGCATCAGAGGCAAAGCGTAAGGTATATGTTTGTGACTTTTGTCAAGTTTAATAAAAATATAATTAATTTTTAAATATAGTTTTTTTTTCGTGATCTTACCCACAACCCAATATTATATACCCGCCTACGAGGGCAAGATGACGAACTTGACATCCAATTTTTAAGGTAAAAAATTAAATAGAAAATCTTAAAATATTTAAGTATTTGATAATTCTCTTTATTTTTTAATGTTTCAAGTTAATGTTAAAATTGGACACAAGATACCAAATTGAAATTGCATTGAAAATAATGTATTATAAACTTACCATCGTCATCTTACCTCCCTTTCGCCTACAGAGTGAGGAGGATGTGTGGAAAAAAGTACTTCTACAAATAGCGTAGCTTTTCTCCAACGTCTGCCGTGATTGACGTCATGGGTTCGTGCCAGATCAAGCCCTCGGTGATCTGGACATTCACCAGCTGAAATGAACTGCTCTTTAGTAGCCTTGGTCTAAGCCAGATTACCGCTAGGGCGCTTCTTGTTAGTCGAGGTGCAGTACTATGTCTTGGAAACATTAAGCTTTACCAGATTGTTGAATCCCCATGCAGTAATAACCTCCAGAACTCTTGCTAGATAAGAAATCGCTGCTAGCTACTCCCCATCATACTGGCAGAGATCGGTTTGGCACTCTAAATTCCTGCATGTAGAACGATGTCATCATGCAAAGCTGTGGATCAGATTTATCGTACAGGAGAGGAGGTCGTTGATATGTAATAGAAACAATGTTGGATCCAAGTCCGATCCTTGTCGAGCACCCGCGTTGACGATGAGGGATGAAGAGGAGAACCCATCTTTAGGGGCCATAGGATAGAAGTTTGCGTAAAAGGGCACCATGTCACAGCTGATCGAAAGCTGTCGTGATATCAAGAACAAAGTCATGAGCCTCATCATATTCATTTATTCATCATTTATTGGTCTCTGCGCTTTTCGCACAATCAACCAACTCAATTGAAGTGGCCTGGCTAGTCTGGCTTGAAGCCATACCATAGACACTGATTTTGACTTAATTTTAATCGATATCAAATGCACTCATATGAGACAGACAATGCACATGACCATCACCACTACATCCATGGCTCAGAATGTTATTTCCGAGGGCAGGATTCGAACTCGCGGTCCGTTTAGCCGGTGTATCGACTCTCTGAATTACCGGGCTACCCAGGTCCCTGGTTCTCACCGTATGACTGATTGCCCCACATTTGTGTGACGTAAGCTAGGAGATTCCCCGTTGATCGCTGGAGTCAGAAACCATACTGCATGCCGTGGACATGAGCAAATCTCCAGTCCTCTGAGAAAATACCGGATTCGTAAGAGATATCAAAGAGGCTCAAGACAACTGGAACCAGCTCCGCTGCATATTTCTTTTCCCAATTACAATCTTTGAAGTGGAATGTGTGAACAGCTGAAATTCCGAATTTTGATGCTTTAGGCTCAGCAGCTACTAGAGCATAACCAAAACTTTTAAACACCGTGAATTCTATAGAAGTCAAGTATGGTTTCTTGATACTAGCCAGGTAAGTAGAATTCAGAAAAATTTATCTTGGTACTAGTACATTCTTATAATATTTTGCATGCCTGGCGGTACCCTAGGGACAATATAATGCCAAAACGTAAATAGTTCAGTTTAACTGAAACTTCGATAGATACATCACGACAAAAGCGCGTCACGAAAAACAAATAGTTGTTAAACGAGATAATTTTAGTTGAAACAATGATTCAGTAATATCAGAGATGAGCAGGGTTCAGGGTACTCTACAAAAGGACCTAGACATAAAATGCAGCTCTAAGTATTAGACTACAGGTACTTAACACGAGAAGCGCTCAAGAAAACTAGAAACTCAGTTGTAAATAAGCAATTAATTCTATTATCTGTTAAATGTATCAACTACTTACCTCCTAGTATGTTTAGGCAACCAGTGACACGATCGGCCATTAGCGCTTGCGACCATCTTCTAGAATTTTTGACCGCGGTTCGAGATATATCTACCGCCATCTAGACTACTTCCCTGAACGTTCTCGACTCTGCCTGGAAAACGCTGGACTGTTTCTGGACTCGTCGTTAAGGGAATAAATACCTGATCAGATGGCGGAGGCAGTCAAACGCAGTCGAGTCAGTGGACCGCGAGCGGGAATAAAAGCAGAATGCTGTCTAGTCGATACAGTTATAAATTTGTTATAAGTTAGTTGCAAGTGTTATAAATTAGTGTAGCAATAATAAATTATACTTTGAACAGTTAGAATGGCGTCTTCCTTACAAAATATTCTGAAAGGTTATAAATTTTATATTTTTTACTTCCAAAACTTCAAAATCGGTGCTAAAATTACCGATATTGAACAGTGCCAGAAAAGTAACACTTGAACAAACGGAAAACAAATAGGCAGACAGGCATACCGACAAATGAGTGACATGGATGTTCGTGACGTAGTATGTAGATATACTCGTATAAAACGTGCGAAAGACTTAAACCTCGGTAATAACTCTAGTAATTAAAAGTATGAAGCTCACATTTCAAAACAAAATACTATGTTATAAAAAGAGTATATGCAGTTCAGATTACCTTGATTTTAATAACTTCAATCCTAAAATAAATCATCAGATGATGGCCATTTGTATAAACAACACAACTAAGGCGGTTTACTTTAAATTCAATGTACAGTTTAATGTAAACAAATGATGAGTACAAAGTATTTACGCTATGCACGGTGTATATAATTAATTATGCACGTTTTAATCACTTAGCGGAATTAGTTCTGTGAGATATGCAGTGGAATACGTTAATCAATGAATGTATATGCACACCAATACGTAGGTTGTTCTACAAGTACCTACATATTTATTAAAAATTTCTCCACCTGTAAAAAGCTACATACACATGAACTTGTTAACTACATCAATTTCTATTTTATTGTATTTGTTAATAAATGGGCTCCGCAAAAGCCTACTAACAATAATGTTCTTCCTCTACAGGATGTAAACGTTATGATAGTCATTATTTAAATGGGTGATAGATGGGATTGAAAGAAGCAAAGAGTTTCATATTAGATGGGGGTCAAAACGGCATTTTCTTAGAGAAAAGAGAGTTTAAAGTAAAATAAAGTCTGACAAGGCCGCAATGCCAGATGCAAATTACGACGAAACGCAGTATAAATAAAGATGGATTTTGTTATTTTTGGCTCTTAGGTACCTATTATTTCATTATTTGATAATGTACTTGTAAAATGCAAACAATTAAAAAAACGGACTTACCACTAACTGTCACAGCGCTTCACCTGGTGTGTGAAAGTTTATTGAACGTATTAAAAAAATCCACTTATAAATATGGAAAATGTCGTCCTTCAGTTTCCACACAAGCTTCATTACGACGAACCCAGTTTCTTCTTACTCTAGGTCCTGGAAGTTGTCCATTTATTATTTCAGCCGCATACAATTTTTTTTCGCGAAGTTGTGCTTCAGTTGTTATTGGACCAGCCGCATATACCATCCCTTTAAGTTCGCCCCAATACCAGAATTCCATCGGATTGAGGTCAGGAGACATTGCTGGCCATTTTCGAGAATCAGGAGCATTTTGACCGATCCAGCGATTTGGATGATGTTCATTCAAATACTGAATGACGCCTCTAAAAATGTGTGGTGGTGCCCCATCATGAAGAAACCACAAATTCTGTCTCCGTTGTAATGACATGTTGTCTAAAGTCTCTTCCAAAAGTTCTGGTAGGTTATTGGCTAGAAAGATGCGGTATCCTTCTCCTGATCACTTTGGGGGTAACTCGAAAGAGCCAATTTCCTGATCGTCAAGAATATTTATTTTAAAACGTTGTTGGAAATGACCTTCACGAATGGTATGAGGATTTTCTTGGGCCCACGTGTGAGGATTATGGAAATTTAATATCCCGTCACGCGAAAAAGTACATTCGTCCGTCTCTAGAATGTTTTTAAAAAAATCCGGATTTTTCAATGTTTTTGTGCAAAAACCACTGACAGAATGTTAGTCTGCGAGGATAGTATTCTGGTAACAAGGCCTGCACTCGTTGTACATGGTAAAGGCAATGCAAGTTTTTCCATAGGATTCTATTGACTATGGTATGCGATAGTCCTACGCGGCGGCCTAATTCCCGAGTGCTGATATCTGCATTGATTTCCACGATATTTAAAATCTGTTCCTCCTGCCCTACAGTAACCTGTCTTTCACGAGTGCGAATATTAGTGGGCTGAACACTTCCTGTATCTCGAAGTCTTTGGTACACTTACACAAATGTCCTTCTGTCTGGGTGTACCCGTTGGCGAAATCTGTTGTGATAAATTTGAGCTGCAAGATTTGAATTCTGACGAGCTTCACCATAAACTAACAACATATCGGCCAACTCTTGATTCGAGAACATTGTGCATAAACACGACGACGTACGTGAATAAAAACAAAACAACAGGCCCGATGACTAACCACTGTACCGTTTGCGATAGGTCACAGGTTCAATAAGAGTGATCATGATCGACGCGCTGTTGTCATGTGTGTTTTAAATATTCAATTTAATGAAACCTACTTACTGACTACAAATTTTGGCTTAACTTAGAAAAACTTAATGCCATTTATTTGTTAATTACCCAATTTAAAAACGTTTTAGATTAGATTATAAAAATTAGTAAGATTGTGGTGATTGTGGTCGATACAAAGCACTTAAAGTTGTAAACTATAAAGCCATTTAAACAAAAATCTATTGACTTTTGGACCATGGGTCATATGAACTTTTTGACTTGATTTGACCCCCCCCCCCCTATTAATAATTTCAATAATGACCACCATAACGTTTACACCCTGTATATCCGTCCAACACCGTGCACGTGCAAGAGTAGAGCCATTGTCAGATTTTTGTATACATAAATGTGCATATATCTCCTGCAACCGTGTTACTTAATAAAAGAAGTGACATTATATATATCGAACGTCCAATAAAGCCAAGCACTAACAATTCCTGACCGTATTTGACATCTGGGCAGGTGCAGTAAAACAAATACAAGACTTGAAATTACTAAAGTTAGTGCCGGCCACTATTACAGAACGCTTAAAATCGTGGCACAGCCAAGAATAACGTATTTTCATCTTTTTTTGCGCGAATAACTTTTCGCTTTTATTGTGTTGCTGTTCGCTAACTGTAAGTTTAATTGGTGAAAATCGTGGACCCTCCGGCCGTAAAATTCAAACCTAAAAGACGAGTTGTTAAGCACGAAGAAGGACACAAACAATAGCTAAACTTTATAATAAATAAGATTATTGGAATTGAATCAGTCATTGTACACTTTTAAACAAACAAGGTAAAAGTTTAGTTTATAATATTATAATATTTTTAGGCTAGAAATGTCATCCCTGCACGGAAATGCACCCAACACCAATGCACTAATAACCTCCCAATAACCCTAATTCTTAAACAATTTCAAGATCAGTCTCTACTTGTCATTATTAGTGTAAGGTCGATATTAATAGTGGCTGGCAGTATTTCAATAACTCCCTATTTTGTAGATTTTCTCGACACTTGTAGTCGACGTGAGATGAACTAGATATTTTACCAATTTTTTACATTATATAGATTCTTTACATAATAAAGGCAACCACAGAATACGCTGTAGTGGCGGTAAGTCCTGTACAATAGTGACTTTGATGCAAGAGCTCCCCTTGGATTTTAATCAAACAATAACTATTTCTTGAGGAACGTTCGAGGAAGGATTTAACATTTGCACTTCACAGTAATCTGTAATAGTTGCCATCATAGGCTGTCATCGAAGTCAAAAATATTTTTCTTTTCTGGCCGAATCCATTAAGCATCTTGATGTTAAATTTTGGACGGTTCAGTTATTTGTGGTACCTAAGTCTTACTCGGCAATGCACAATAGTAATGAAAAGTGTAGAATAAACCCTGAAAATTTCAGCTTGCTACATGGACTGAAATAGTTCTACAATAAAATCAGTAATGAATTACAACATGGATTTTTTTTTATCGCGCTCCAAAGTTGCGGGATGGAGGAGATTATTCACAAAAAAAAATAAATTTATGATTTTTTGCGTTGATTTATAATTAGCTCTGTTAAAAGGTGACATAACCGCTGCTAAAACTAACCATTTAGCACATCTCAAAAAAAATCACAGCCCTTAACCTAATGGTTTAGTTGTAATTGCGATTGAAAGTTCATTAGCCAGTTTTTTTCGAAATTTCACAAAATTGCAAATATCTCCTGAGCTATAAAATTTCAGACTATACATATAGGGGTTCATTCGATATGTTTTGACTTCCGTTGATCCACTACTAACTTTACACCGTGTATACGTTGGATTTAAACAGCGCAATTTGTATCATTATCGTTATTTAAGGCTAGTAAAGATTGGTTTTTAAGATCGTTTAGATCGTAGTCTAAGATATGTTAAACCAACACACGATCATGTGATTTTCAACAAGGTCATCAGCTCCATCAATTTCGCTCTGATTCAGCCACTCTAAACCGTTGTGTCGCTTGCGCACATAAGCATGCTTACTCTAATTTCACCAAATTTTCTTAAAATGTCACACTATTTTCTGTGGGGATAAAATTACGTAATATTTGTCAAGACCCCCCTCTCCCTCGCTTAGATTGAGTGACATCTGCCTTGATCCCCTTCCCTCCCTCAACACCTCACGTAATTAATGAGGGTCTCCTCAAATGATGATCTAACTATGCCTACGTAACTGAACATTCTACAACTATAGTCGCAAAATAATGAAAACTGTTAGTGTCCTAAAATAAAACTTACCAATTCACGCAATGCACACAACCGTGTGATGTTTAATCGTATATTATTATCTGTAGTTCAAGTGGTCGGATGATGTATGCCCGTCGTTGTGTATACCAATTGTTGGCAATTTTTACTATACTTTAATTCAACAGAGTGCACATAATTTAGTGATAAGATGCATGCGACAGATGATAGTAATAGCTCTTAGTAAACCGATATACGAGAGAAGATGCGATATTTCGCTAGATAATTGAGCCTTGAACGAGTGTATTTTCATCGTAAAACTAGTTTATTATTATAGTAGGCACTAAGATTAGAGCAGTCTGCTGGACCATTAAAGTTCTCGAATAGAATGGTTGAGTGTGCGGCTATACATATACAGTGGAAATGCCAAAATTTCCTCCACTAGTTATAGCGCAAGCAAAAGACAGCAGGAAATGTGTCAGCTTAGGTTAAATAAATTCAAGAGAATGCAAAATATTGTAACTTTCAGGGATTTTAAATGTTTTGATGATGCAGCATTCCTTAATGATCTCGCCAATTCCTCCGTCGATGATCTGTTTTTTATCCCAAACATTGACAGTAAAGTTGACCATTTAACAAATATCTTTAATTATTTTATTATTCAATAAATATGCTCCACTCAGAGCTGTACGTGTTTCTAGGCCACCTGCGCCATGGCTGAATGATGAAATAAAAAAAAGGTATGCAAGCTAAAGTTACTGCGTTAGCAAGATATAAGCAAGATAAGACTGCAATTAATTATGAAAACTATCGTCGCATTAGGAATAAAGTCCTTATTGATATTCGAAAGGCAAAAAAAGAATATCTGGCAGTACTTTCTGAGCAAAATGAATCGAGGAAGATTTGGTCAGGCATAAATAAACTTAATATAAAGTCTTGTAGCAAATATACTTTGCCTGATAACATCAGTGATGTTAATCTGATAAACAGGTATTTCATGTCTGTTTATAGTATTGATAGTGTGCCGGAAAATGTGTGCGAGTTTTATAGAAGCAATAAACTAAATCCGTCTAATTCTTTTTCTTTGAGAATCTTAAGTCCTCAAGAGATCTTTGATATAGTAAAAGGTCTAAAATCAGACGCTAAAGGCCTTGATACGCTGTCAATTACAATGATCAAAGTTAGTTTACCAATAATATTTTATCATATTGTACACATAGTTAACACTTGCATTGAAAGAGGCTTGTTTCCCAAAGCCTGGAAGAATGCATTGATCTTACCAACGCCAAAAAACAATAAACCTACTGATGTTACTCATCTAAGACCCATAAGTTTGTTGCCTGTGTTGTCAAAAATACTGGAAAAAGCAGTTCAGTTACAAGTAGAGTCTTTTATTGAATATAATGGCATCATTCCTTTAAATCAATCTGGATTTAGGAAATATCACAGCACAACCTCTGCATTATTAAATCTGTGCGACAACGTTATAAGAGCTATGGACAAAAAAATTACGGTTTCCCTAGTTTCAATTGACTACTCCAAAGCATTCGACAAAATTAACCATGTGCTTTTACTTTCTAAGTTAAAGTACATTGGATTTGACAATATAGCTATCCAATTCTTCAAAAACTACCTCTCACACCGGATGCAGTGCGTTTCTGTAGGCAGCAGGCTATCAGAAGTCAGTATGATACCATCAGGAATCCCTCAGCGCTCCATACTAGGCCCTGTGTTATTTCTTATATACACTTTTGATTTGCACAAATCTGTCGCACATTCCGATTTACTAAGCTTTGCTGATGACACTCAACTCATTCATTATTTTGACGCCTCTTGTTCGCAGGATGCTGCTGCCTTATTAGAGCAGGATCTGAGCAAAGTGCAAAAATATTCAAGTGACCATAATCTAAACATTAATCCAGATAAGACTCAAATATTACTATTTTGTTCCGACGCAAGGAGAAGTGACGTGGAGAATACATTTAAAGTTAACCTTGATGGCTCGCTGCTGCAGATTGCTAATTCAGCTACAATTTTAGATGTTGAAGTAGATAGCAAATTGAGATTTAGGGAGCATGTTATGTCCTTAGCTAAAAAAACGTATGGTCGAATGAGAGCGTTATATGCCAATCGCCACCTACTGAACTTTAAACTGAGAAAAAAACTTTGTGAGTCTCTTGTGTTGCCAATTCTCAGTTATTGTGATATTTTATATTACCCATGTCTTGATGAACGGATGAAAAGCAGGCTTCAAATAATTCAAAACAATTGCATTCGCTTTATTCATGGATTGAGGAGATTTGACCATGTTAGTGACAAATACAGCCAAATGAAATGGCTAAGAATTGATAAACATGTGCGGTGCAAATACTTAGTGTTTTTTCACAAGTTGATAGCTGCGTCAAGACCTGCATACCTGAGAGAAAAGATCATATTTAATCGAGAAATTCATGACAGGATTACCAGGGACCGTATAATGGTCAGGATACCTCCACACTCTATGACACCCTTCAAGCGTTGTTTCTCGTATAATGCTGCCGTATTTTACAATGCTTTGCCCAGAAAGTACAGGGAAATGTCTTTTGCTAGTTTTTGAAGGCAAATCAAGCAATTTATGCTCACTCTTCCCTGATATTTATATTATATTTTCTGATCCGTTTAGGCATACGTGTACATAGTGTATATAGTTGTAGTGTACTTTAGTTGATTAGTTATTTAACCTTTCTGTATTCCTTAGTGTTTCTTATATATATATATATATATATATATATATATATATTTCTCTTTTTTTGGAATTCCACACAACATCGTGCTTAAAGTATAGACAAAGGTAGTTAAGTGTAAGAGTAGCTCAAGCTAAACTTCGCTATGTTTGTCCCTCACATGTACAAAATATGAATAAAGGCGTTATTATTATTATTATTATTCTTATTAAATATGGCAAGTTTGCAAAAATTTCCCACAAAGCTAAAAACTGGTACACACCTTAAACACACCATTATGGATAATATATCAAAACTCCACATACCTATATCCTTAGAGCGGAAACTTCTTTTATTTATGATAAACTGTGAAAAATATCTTGTTTTGTCATATTTCTCTAAAAATGAACTGAGCTATTGGATGTGCCCATTCTGCTTGTGTAGCTGTTATAAGAACATTTTGCCAATGTTCTTGAAACATTGCTGTTTGCTGTGTAAGGAAATCTAAGTAAACGTCCTTGAAACTCTAATAGGAGTGATAATTGTTAGTTGGGGGCGTAGAGTAATTTGGGATGCTGATTCCAAATATGGCCATCAACTAATTACAAAACGCCACGAAGCACTATTGATAATATTAAAATGCGACTTCTGTAGGCTTCTGCCAACCTTATCAAAAAACTTGCATCAGATTCATTCATATGTATATCGTTCGCCTGTCACAATATGGAGGACGATGTATACGTCTGTGGGCACACAATCACTAGCTGGCAGTGAAAGACGATGTCTTAAGGATTTTATCAAAATATGATAATTTACAATGATTTTGTGACTCTTGCAAGCTTAAAATTTGCCAGTCTCCAGTCAGATCTGTGGCAAATTGACTACATTTGAATCATCTGAGTTAGCTATCTGCATGAAAGAAATCGAGTGTTTGCAAAGAGAAGAAGGACTGATGCAAACACTAGTTAATGAATTGGAATATTCAAACACTGTCAAAATCAATACTTCGAAGTTGAGTCATTTATTTTAACAGTGAGTAGATCTGATCAAAAGAAATGTTTTTTTCCTTTACCATTTTTCTCGTAAAATTAAAGTAACAAAGTTATAGCCCTTTGGAAGTTTGAGTACCGCCCTGTCTCAATCATGTGCTCGTGTTTGGCGACAACGGATATAATCCGCCTTACCGGTTCATCGCATCGGAAACAAAAAAGCGAAATAATTTGGAACGATGTTTTTACAATAAATTATTTTATTCAGTTGTTATACATACAGTCAGTGTCAGTCGGTTAGCGTGTGAATAGTGTCTGTTGCGTGGCTCAAACGAAATAAAAAATGGCACATGTTTATGCGGATCGGTTTCCCAATCGAGTGCAACCAACCCCTCGTGCCTTTGTTAATGTAGTACAACGGGCTCGTGAATCAGGTGACTTAAGACCTCACAGGGGACCTCACGATCAAATACAGGTCCGCACTGAAATACTTGTCGGGAGGATACTTTATAAAACAAGGTAAAAAAATTTTTTTCTTTTTTTTTTTATTTTTACACACATATTCTGGTTTATCTTCCTTCTACAATCATTATCTGAAAATTAATGACTCAACTTCAAAGTCACCCTGTATATTATACGATAATGATAATTTTCCTGCTGGTAGAAATACTGTTTGTTACCTGTGAAGGTGGACCACTTTTTGTGTCCAAGCATGTAAATACACCCAGCTACAACGATATACTAAAAAAACGTGTAAACTATATTGATCCATCTGTGTTACTGGTAAAATCGGCAAACAACAAGCAGAACACCGATGTAGTCAAATGCATTAGGGATGCAGTCAATCCAGTTGAACTAAACGTTCATATAAGTGATACAATGAAAACTAAAGATGGCGCAGCGGTATATTGCAACCGCTCGCCGGATTTGCAGAAACTGAAGGAAGCTCTTAAAAATAAGCTTGGTAATGGGTATCACATTGGGGAATCCAAGAAGTTTAATCCTCGTATTATAATTAAAAATGTTTCTTCTAATGATAATTTTTGCGATAATGATGTATTTTCCAAAACATATTGTCTTTAAATAACTTGAACGATGAAGATTCTTCAACCTCGATGAAAGTAGTCACAAAGTTAAAGCTGGGGGATTCAAAAAATATGCACCTAGTTCTAGAAGTGTCTCCACCTATACGAAAACTTCTACTAGCAAAAGGTTTCGTCTACATAGACTGGAAGAGGTGCAGCGTAGTTCATCACCTCAATATTATGCAATGCCGAAAATGCTGTTCATTTGGTCACCTTGAGTAGAACTGTGCATCTAATGTATCTACGTGTCTTAAGTGTTCTAGTGGCCATTCTTATAAAAATTGTGATAAAGGTTCTGTGAAAATTGATTGTTATTGTAGGAGATCTGAATGTTGATATTTTGAGCGGCAACAATGTCCTTTCTCCATGCTTTCAAATGGTGGATTTTTTTCAAATTGTCAGTGACCCTACTAGAGTGAGAAGTAACACATCATCCTTATTAGATCCAGTTTTTACTAATAAACCAGACATTATTTCCGACAGTTTGGTTCTCAATTCTAACGGCATATCTGACCACAAAATGGTATCGTGCACTCTCTCCATTCCTGATCTGAAAAATAAACAAAGGTTTGTAACTGTAAGGAACTTCAAATGCTTCAA